ATATAAGAATTACTCGAGCCAGCTGTTGCAATCTGTCAATCATATTATCAAAGCTGCTGCGCGAAGCGCGCCGCTCGAAGACGGCAACCAAAAAAAAATGAACATGCCATTGCCAAGCTATCTCAATAATTACGAGTAATTGAAAGTCGCATATTTAGGTATATAGTCGAATGCAAATAATATCTCAAATCTTTAATAATATAAATTATCGTTTTTTAAAAGTTTTTATCGCTATCTAGCGATTTATTTATATTTTTAAAATTGCTGTCCATTGAAACACTTTAATAAATATTACAAAAATTATCAAAAAATAAGTAACTTAAATCATTTTTTCAATGTGAAATTCTATTTTTTTCACATTTATCAACTTTTTTAAAAAAGTCCTAGTTTTACTAATAATCATTAATTGTTTAATGTCTTCTGATATTAGTTTTCAATAGCATATCGTTTTCAAGAACAAAGTCCATTTCTAGAGTGAAAGGAATTTTACATTGCAAAAATTATTTAAATTACTTATTTTTCGATCATTTTTGTAAACTTTATTTATAAAGTTCAATAACTACTCATAACAATTAAAAAAAATTGGATGTAAAAAAAATTGAACATGCAGGCTTGTGACTTTTTAAGTTTTCGTGTTCGAGTCTCTGCTTGTAAACTTTTTTTTTCATGAATTTTTTTGCATTTTATTTCTAAACTTGTTTAATATTGTAATAATAATCACGCAAATATGTATTGTCATAACAATTTTATTATTTTTGCTATTAAATTATAACGAAAGTAATAAAATTTTGAAACGTTGTTCGCAATAACTACCGCTGTAAAATATTTATATGGAGTATAATATATAAAATATTGTGTATAGAGGAATAATACAGTCAAGAAAACTAGGAATAGGAATTGTATTTATATTTACATATTTTCACAATCTGATTTTTATTATTTGCAAGAAGCAAAGATAATAGAATTACAATGACAACACATATTTGCATGATTATTATTATAATATTAAACAAATTCAGAAATAAAATTCAAAAAAATTCGTGAAATAAAAATTCACGAGCACAGAAATTCGAGCACGGAACCCTTGGCTTATCAAGTTGACACGCTACCGCTTCGCCGGTCAAACCACTTGTAGCTAGGTTACACCTTTAGGTATATAAGTTCCCATACAAACTTTAGGGCTCTTTTTCTCAAAATTTGCTGCTCTTTGGTCTGTAGAACTTGAGCATGGTATGAGGTTTCATCACTACGAAGTCTCATTCGGAACTTCATTTCCCATACCGTTTCCTCCCCTTATGAGTACAAATAGACTGGTCCATCAACATATAGTATGGACTACGCATAGACAGAAAAAATGGTTGGCTGAAAGAAAAAGATAGCGACTGGTGGCGGCCAAGCCCTATCTTCTTCTAACCAGCAGCCGTAGTACGAGAGTATAGAAAACATAGGCAATGGGAACATTAGAACAGGAGAACAATTGGCCGCCATCTCATTTCCTCTTTGTTTATTTGAGCGGACACTTTTGCAAAGGATCTAAGGTAGAGATCGCGTAGTCCACACTATATGTCAATAGACTGGACATACCAATGTATTCTGTGCCTCGCGATCTTTATATGCGGAATATATGTATATTTACATACAGCATTTCAATGGGTAAAATCCATTTGCAGGTGGCTTTTTAATGCCGTTTTGAAGGGTCATGAACATTCCGGGTTCCTCCTTCTACTTTACTTATATTTTTTATACGCTGTTTTCTGTGGAACGTATCAACGGCATAAAAATAGACACGACTGTATAATATGATAAAATGTATATAGTATAATATAATCATGCATTTGTTACATTCCAAGTTAACTAATAGATTCAATAAGCATTGTTCATGAATAAAAAAAAGTAATAATAATTGGGTCTCGAACCCGAGAGTCTCGCACGTTGACTCGTTACCATGCACGTATGATATTTAGTTACCGTGACGTACAGATTGGGAAAACTGTATTTCAGTTGTTATACACGTTTGGAGTTTGCTTAGAGTACTCTGATACATACGGTTGACCAATCAAAAACGTGGGTATGGTTCGAAGCTTCTTCGTCCAGGTGACGCGTCGACAATAGAAAACACACGCTTTACAGTGCCACCCGGTATAATCCATGCGTCTCACGGAGCTCACGAATATCACGCGTAGTATATCTATATATACTCGACCAATCAAAAACGTGGGTATGGTGCGACGGCCCTCCGCTCAGGTGGCGCGTTTACTCCAAAATAAAATTGGTTTCAAGAATATCGGCTCATTGGCAATCTCCCTATTCATCTCTGGCCAAAGCATCTTGCCCGTTGGTAACTTCCTGCTGTTCGCTGCATCTAGTGAATCTAGGGATCGATTGTGTAACTCAAATGTAGTGAAAATACGAAAAGTGAATAGCTGTTAGCCAATCGCATATTAGGTTCAAAATAAAACAAGCACAATGATTGGTTAACAGCTATTCACTTTTCGTATTTTCACTACATTTGAGTTACACAATCGACCTCCTAGTATGCAAGGCCTAAGAATTATGACAACAGAGCTCGATATCCTTTGCCCATTAGGCCTGAACGAGCCCAAAACAATTTCCAAAAAATCTCCCACCGTCCGGTTCCGGTTATTTATATTTCATTGAACGGCCACGGTTGGCGCTCCTATCGTAAACGCCAAATGTTTCGACAATGTCGCTACATGGTGATCTTTCGGCACCGAGAAACTGTCGTCAATTAAGGTGGTGATGTACAGGCTGAATTCGAATTCTCGGTGATGTTCCCATAACTTTTTAGAGTCATACGGCGTATCTCGACTCTATCTTGGAAGTGTAAACACCTCTTATTGCCACGATAATGGGCAGCGAGTATTCCTATTGTGAGGAATACGCGACTAACCAAGGTGGACCAGAAGCAGATTTATTTGTCTGCTGTGGCATAGCCTAGGAATGGTATCGCCGTCCAAGGCCCAGGATCAAGAGCGCAATCAACATCGTCCACTGAAAGACGAGTCGAAACAGACTGACAAACGTTCCCGTATGTACATAACCTATGAGATAAATGACTTGTTCTTTGTTAACGTTCTTTTCTGTAGATTTTGTCAAACATAACTTTTCCATTTCATAATATTCCATGGTAATTCATACAAATGAATTGGGCTCATACTGTTTGTGATTTTGTAACAATAGTTAGTCTACATATTACGTAAATACAAACGAAGTATTCAAATCCTTTGAATACATGTTTAATTTTCACCTACTTTTTTTTTGTACTGTTGGTCTTGAAATGGAAGGGGGGACGAGCGTGCGCAGAAGATACACATGTATGCATCCGTTGTACTATAGGGAAAGTATTTTGGAAGAAGTAATATGACATATGCGAACCAAAAGTATTCAGCAAGAATATTCGTTTTGATAGAATTTATTGTGGATAATTTAAAATATATTATTAAGTATGGCGTAAAGAGGAAGTTTGCTTTTTTGTCAAGTTACTCTATGATATAAATAACATTTATACTTTCCGTATTATAAAATACTTTGCAGTATAATTTTAAACAATGATAAGAAAGCCTTTGACACTTGTCCAGAGTCGCCAAGAAAAGAGTAAAGAAGTAAAGAGTAAAGAGAGCCATTATCATAGGATATTCTGTCTGACAACTACTGCACATAGTTGGCATAGGAGATATTGGAACCAGCATATAAGTTCTGCAGTTTATATACTATCGATATTGTGTCAGTCACAAAATACTTAGGGGCTGGCTCTTTTTATTACCAGTATCGCTTTGTTAATAAACAACAGAAAATACTATAAACAAATCAGAACCTATTGTGTCAATATCTAGAGTGTTAAATTTAAAAATAATCAAGTTTCAATCGGATGATTTTAGAAACTTCTAGTTTGTTTCCTACAACTCCCTATTTCTGTTTGTCTTTATCATGCAGATTTTTTTTAAAATTATGTTACGCGTGAGTAGTTTGTGCCATGACCTATAAATATATATGTGTAATATACTTTAAAAGGAAATATGAAAATTAATTACATAAGATGTTATTTCCAGATGTACATTTACAAAAAGGCCCAAAACCTTTGGAAAAAAAAACATTTTATTTGGATATAAAGAATCATGCTCTTGCATCAAAACTAGAGACCAAAATAAAGGATCTTGGTGGGGTAAGTTATAAAAAAAAAAGATTTCATCTTCACTAACATATTGTATTGTCATATTTGTTTTACTGCAATATTTTTGTACTCTATTTTTTATATAGCAGTTTATTCGAGGTCAGAGTTTGAATTCTAATGTCAGGCGTATTGATTATACGTCGATGCTCGCGCGTTTTCCTCTCGTTTCCGCCATTTTTGTCTAAGGCCTATGGTTTATCAGGTACCCGGGGATTATGATATGAATGTAGCCAAACACAGCCGATACTCTTCGATTATAAAAGCAGCACTGATAGTCCTTACATCTACGGAAATGTACAATGTTTTACGATCTATGCCGATATTTGTGAAGGCGCATTGTACATCTCCGTTACAGCTTAAAAAAATGTTATGCATTAAGGACAAAATATACATTACGGCAAAGCAGACACTAAATAGAAAGTATTTCTTAAACGAAAGCATTAGATAAATATGAATCATCTGTTAAATGCAAATTATACTATACAGATGATGAACTTAAGATACAGTTCATTTACTAACAGCGTTTTTTGAAAGTGCAATCTTCCTGCAATTTTTAAAGTGAGTTTCATAAATTCCATATTTTAATTGTGAATCGATATTTTACTATTTATTATAATTTGAGTATTGCATAAGTTGTTAATATTTTAAAGAATTTTATTTTATTTTAAAGAGTATACTTTAATTATGTAACTATCATAACTCTTTTTTAACTCTTCTATGGTCGCGTGGAATTTTTTGAACGTCATTTTTTATAATATCTTCTCACGTAAGAAAATTGAAGTAATATCCATTCGTTAGATAATTTTACAAACAATCCAATACATCCGTATATTTGTTTTAAATTACTTTTCATTTGAAATAAAGTCAATGAAGTATTAAAATAGCACACGCCCGTTCAATGATTTACGGTTGTATCAAACTTGGTGATTGAACTTTTTCAAACTAGCGCGACATTTAGTATGATCTATACGGGCCATTTGATCCGTTAACTTTTTTTTATTGATAAATACCCCTGCTTATTGTGACATCTGATGGTAGCATTGTGAGTTTATTATCTTAGAAAAATATTCTGTTTTCCAGGATTTTGGAAACAAAATTTCATTGCTTTAAATAATATATTTTTGTCCGCTCCCCCTTGAAAACCCTTATTTTTGTGAATGTCTAGCCGACGTAAAGTGGCTAATTAAAGTCCGGTGACGACTGCGCATGCGCACTTCGCAACTAGGCATAATATGTATATAATTAAAAGAATGACAGTTTAGCCGCGAAGGGTAGCTTTTGAACTTGTAACCGGACGGCCCAAGTTCAAATATCAAGCAGAGAATGTTTTTTTGATTTACAAGGTAACCAAGAAATAATTTGGACGCTAAAAAGGTACAGTTGAACGAATTATTATTTAATCAAAAAAATGTTCTGTACACAAACTAAAGGACATTGTAGTAATTATGGACATCTAAGATTATTGCATTATCCTTTAAACAATACATGTATATACTATTTAGACACCCAATAACCTCAAATATCTATACCATATCCATTAACTACGGGGTTAGTTTGGTTCAAATGTGAAAATAGATGAGGCTGGGAAATAGACATATGTATATGTATGTCTCTAAATCTGACAAGCCGATATGGGTGCCACACGTTTTCCCCTCCCACCGCATCATGAAGAAACTTCAGGTTCTGTCCAGATATTTCATACGTCCATGATATAAACTTACAAAGAGAAGCAAGTTTTAGAATTCTGGAAATAGAAATCTAATTTATAATCTCACCCCAATATTCGTTGGGATTCGGCAGAAGCGACGAATTGAATACTTTTATAATTGACTCTAACCTAACTTCAATATTTGTGTTGGCAATGCATTGAGTGGGAGGTATAAGCGGAGCATATATATATAAATTGTGTAGTGGGGATAACTTCGATTCGCAAACGGCCACATTCCGATAAAAGGCGTGCGCGAAGCTGTTACAAATACGTCAACTTTCTGTTGACAAACACAGGAGTTACTGAATTTTAACGTGCTATCTAGCGGCTAAATGAGAAAGCTATAACTGAACTTGACGGTTCTCCACTAATACTGATGCCAGTACTGTCATCTGCAGAAAATGGGAAAAAAGTCTTCTATAATGATTTTGGTAATCATGTAAGAAAATTATTTGAGAGAGACTTAAAAACTTGTAAAGAAAAACATTCGCCTTAAATTTTAGTAGTAGCTGTTGCTACTGAGCGCCGCCATCAGGACCGCTGATAAAGCTGGCAACACCGAAGTGATTCCATACAGTGTACCTAGCGCGCGGATGGCCATTTTGTGTCCGAGTGACAGCTGCGCTTTCGGTATTATGTGCATCCAGTCCCGAAATTTCCTAACATTTCGTCCGAATCATTTTGTTTCAGTAATTGTGTACGTACAGTGATAATTGTCAGTTATTAACATTCGTTGTGTACCAGGCATTTTACATGTGCGAAGACACAACAACGTCCTAACAAGTGAGTCGCGATATTATCCTGTACTTTCTTTCACCGTGCCTCCTACGCCATCTTGTTGTATTTCCAGGCGACCACATCCATGTTATACGAAGTGCTCGCAGTTCCGTTTCGAGAACAGATTTGCTTATTTTTATATATTTCCTTACATTGTTGCCAAGTGATTTTACAATTTCAAACACAAATGAAGACTCTGATTCACTCGTACGTCTTTTTCATTTGTCACTTTTTAAAATTTTCGGAGATCGAATTGTTGAAGTTCTTGCTTGTTGATTGTTTTCGATTTTTGCTTTTATTTATATATATATATATATATATACACCTGAAAGGCTTTTTATTTTCGAATCATTCAATTATATTATTTTAATAGCTAGTTTTACGTGAGGTTCGATGATTTTGTTAAAGAAAATTTTTAAGTATAAATATGGGGATTGTTTTGTTACCTTTTCTTTTATTCACTCGGCATTCCATTTTAATTCGAATTTGCCGCTTTCAGTACTTTACTACTAACCTATATCTTCTATTTTCCATTTTGTGACAGTTCTTTCATTATACATTCAAAATAATGTTCATTATTCATTTCAAAATATGTTATCTCGTTGATTAATATGTAGAAGAGAGCTAATGTGGAGATATATTGGCTTTGTTACTTTTATATCTGTCATTGTTTATTATGTCAAATTGTTTTATATCATTTACACTAAACATCACTGAGTTTGATTATTTTAAATTTACTATATGGATAATGTAATTGATTAGAAGCAGTTATCATTTAATTGTAATAGTATTTTCCAGAACAATGCTAGATTCTAGTTGGTTTAAAAATAAATTTTTTTTTCGTTGTTATAGTCCTTGTTGGACAATAGATTTATTTTTTGACAGTCAAGCCCCATAGGCTAATTAACAAATAAGCATTCTTGTATATGAATTATAGGTATGTCAGCAAAGGTGTTTATTGTTGATCGAAGACTATATTGAATTTTTGTTACCTTACATTCTTATATATTCTTTTCTTTTCAATATTGATGGCGATAATCTCAACAGACATCATTTTAATTTCTTTCATTGTGTATTGCATCAAGATTAGTAATATTTTATAAAATAATGTTTGTAATTTTGAGTTTCGATGTTGCAGACTATCGAATTATTTTTAGTACGTAGTGTCACATTAGTGGTGAGCGATAAAGCAGAAAAGTCAAACCAGGCTGATAGTGACAGGTGCAAATGGGGTTGGACCAGCGGAGGGAGCGTGGGACCTTCCTCGCTATGGAGCGTGGAGAACCCAACGCCCACTCCGACACCTCCAACGCCTTCCTTAAGTATTGAGTCTCCTCTTAATAATTCAACCAACTTACGGGCTCAAACTGCTTCAAGATCCGTGAGTATTATTCAGTGTTTTCATTATTTAATGTAACTTATAACAATTATAGTTGGGTTAATTTCCTCATTGCTAATGTTATGGTATTTCATCATAAAGTGCAGAATCTGTCTAAGTTTACTTGCCATATTAATAACTTAATACTAATATTCTGACTTATTTGCAGAAGTCGCGAGCGGATGCGATGTTGCAACGTGCTTTGACACAGCCGCAGCAGTGTTCCGTGGATCCGCTAAAGAACGCGCAACATTGGGGTATCCCTATTTGGGCCACTGAGAAATTGCAGGGCTGGCTTGAAAAAATATACGTTTCCCTTAAAGATACTAGAAATCTTGCCAGTCGGAAAGTCAACTCTACACAGTCGCCATCTGTTTGTATTGCCAAGGATCCAAAGGTCAAACACCTCAAGGCGCCTTTTATTAAGTTCGAGTCTCTTCGCAGGTTAGAAGATTTAATATATTTTGAACTGAGGAGAATAATTGCCATAACCATAAGTATTTTATGGCTACTGTTTTCAGAATTGCTTTCGAGGAGCATACAATATGTCATCCATATTACACGAGAAAAATAAGTTTGAAGGATATATCATGTATGAAAATTATTTTCCAGAGATACTAGGCCTGTTTTTCTTGAGCTATCGTCCTGGCCAACTTTGAATTTCGACGGCGAATCAGGAACCTGTCCATTTGACATAAAACGACGGGAAGATAAGAACGGAAAAAATCTAATCACTAAAGAAGTCAAAGAAAACAGAGCAGGTGTGGACGTAACCCAACGAGGGAAGGTTAGTACAATTTGTATTGAAAACCCGATTTTTTCAACCAATGTTCTGGCTATATAAAATTCAATATTTTGTAGTCTTGAAGTCCAGTAATGCTCTAAATTAAAGCTTTCTGAATTATCACATCAGCTTAAATATCAAGTATTTGAATGTCTATTTAAACCGTTTGATCATTTTCTTTAGGATAAGGAAATGACACGTAGACCTCGTGCTACGGCGACTCGCGCCCGCAGGACGGAACAGCTAGTAGCAGGCTACTGTGAGATTTGCAGAATAGACTATCAGGATCTTACCAAACACGTTCGAAGTGATCAGCACTTAAATTTTGTTCGTAATGACGATAATTTCCTATCCCTGGACACGCTGATAAGTGCTGGTGCCAGCGTTGAAGCATTCCTGCAGCTGAATCGTGCTAAGGAAATTGGGTATGCCACTTTAAGTTTAAAATAACATCTTCCTATAAATTTTTAACTTTAAACAAAAAAAGATAAAAATACTTTCGCTATGGAATTGCCATGTAAGATGATTTTTGTACAGGCATTTATTTTATAAACTAATATAAATAAATCAATTCTTATTTTAATTATTGAATATAGTTTGTTATTTTTAATGTTTCGTTTAGCACTTAAGACATATATGATTGTTATCATTATCTTATTTCAAATTTTAATTTCTTTTTTTTTCATATAGGAAGGACCTCTTTCAAAACGGTGGCCGAAGTCTTCGCAGTGTGGTACTTCCTGAAGGGAAGACAGAGAAAACAGTTAAATCCGAACTTGACGATTTTGGTGTTGAAGACATCGGTATGGTGCAGTGCAATGGTGCGCGGCCGAATCTCAATTTAAAATTAAATTCACAACATAACCTCCGAACTAGGACAAAGCATGAAAGTGGACATTTACTTCGTTCTAAGGGTAGTCCTTGGCACGAAGTGGAGAAAACTGACAAATTCTATGAGAAATTTGATGGGTTCACAGTAAAAAAGCAACGCCAGAATAAGAACTCAGTGTGGATCGAACAGGATGATGAAAAACTTCCTGAAGAGGATGACTTTCAGGTGTGCTGCACGGCTCTACAAGAGAAAGGCCTTTTATTGGCTGATAGTAGGATCTTATCCTCAAAAGATGTAAAGCCAGAACCTGAGGATTTTACGGCTAAAGATGGTGTCATACTGGTGCAACCGGATCATGCTGAAGTATCTGAGAGGCTTTATGAACCGACGGACGATAGGCAAAGTGGAATTTGTGAAAATGAAGTGGTGCAGGATCAAAAGAAACAAAATGAGGAAATTAAAGTAGAAAGTATTAGTGATAAAGTTAACGATACAAACGATCGGGACGTGAAGTGTAATGACAGACAAGATGGTGATAAGACTTGTGATAAAAGTATTAAGAATGAGAAAGGTAGGACTAGACCTTTTTCAGGTAGGCGAGGTTGTAAGAGTTCAAGGGTGAGGCATCGTTTATCGGTAGAAGAAAGACTTATTGAAGATAATAGAGCTTATTATAAGGTCGAAGTGCTTGGCAATAAACTGCGGTCGACCACTGTGCCAGGAGCAGATCAATCTTGCAAGGATAATAGTACTAAGAAAGAGGATGATGTACCATCCAGTGAAAAACCGGTAGTCGTGAGGTTCAAAAGAGTGCGAAAGTCAGAATTATCTTTACTAAGTGATGAGGCTGAATCGTTTATGTTTGGTGAACCTAGACGAATTGATGACTCTAGTGAAATCAGTGAGGACGAGAGTAGCCCAATGCCTAGAGAAACTCAGAGTGAGATGGAACCTAGTTCTATGTCTTTAATCTCTTCCGTATCAGTTACTAGTTCACCTTATAAAGAGGAAGAGGATTCCCAAGATTTTGGTGGTCGTGCCAGGAAGAGGAGAAGAACTCAAGTTGAAGCTCTAATAAAAGACAACGTAGATTATTATAAGTTTGAGACCCCAGATAGTAGATTAAGGTATCAGACATCACAAGGAATGTCCAAAGACTCCTCTACGATGAGATCGGAACCTAGAAGAGTGCTAGATGGACAAGGGCCTATACTATCATCCAAACCATCCCCGGAAGTAGAGAAAATGCAATTTTCATTCGAAACAGTGCCCACATCAGAACCATGGTATCAAACCTATCAAAGACAGGATCAGGGTGCTGAATTTTGGCACTATTTCAGCGAAGCTGATAGCCACCGACCTTTTCTGCTGCCATATGAGATAGACAATTTTCAAGAGACTCTCGCCAAAGGTATAGCTAAAGCTAATGAAAACAGACGAAGAGCCAAGGGTCGTTTTACTTCTGGTCGTTCCCCGCGAAAGAGCCCTAGATGTCACGCTTCTACCTTGGCGATCATGTCCACGATCATCCGTAAGCGGGAACAACCTTCTCTTCAAGTCATTGAGGAGGAGAGTCAAAACATTGAAAAAAGAGAAGTTAAGTCTGATGTCGATGAAGAACTCAAAGAGATGGCTCGCAGCATCGACGAAATGTTATGTGCTAAAGGTGATCTCCTCGAGGATTCCTTTGAAGTGACAGACATGGCCGAGCCCTCCTTGCCGAAAGTAGGACCCCCACCTAATCTCCTTGAACTTCTTGATAATTGTGAAGAGTTACCTAGAAGCCATTTGGAGAACAGTTCATGTGGGAGCTCTGAATGCGGTGAAGTTATCCATGGAGAATCACCTGCAAAGAGACGAAAACGTCGAAAAAATCGAACCGGATGGCCAGGTATAAAGATGCGAAAAAAGGTACCTGGAAAATCTTCCCAGGAACACGACCTGGATAGAGAAAACGTACCTGAGAAAAAAGAGTGCCCTGCCCTGTCAGAGAGGTTACATGACTTCTCTGAGCATACAAGTAATCCTGGTAAAACTGAAGAGGGATTATTCTCGGGACAAAAAATTGACCAACAGCAGCAATCACAACACCAACAGTCTGAAGATAACAGAATGCACGAAGAGGATGACGAAAATCATGAAAATCATTGTAGGGAGTCGGAAAGACCATCAAAGGTACTAAGTAGGCGTAAAAGAGTTGTAGGATCAGCATCAGAACCACAAGATACAAGACCTAGGCCAAGAAAACGTCAGGTACTACCTAGATCGGAGGGTTCCCAAGAAACAGAACCAGTAGAACGCACCTCCAGGAAACGTTCACGACCAAATACCACATCTTCAGAGCCAGATGACTCAGAGAATCATCTAACTCGAAGAATAAAGTGTCGTCGTATGATTTCCTCTTCAGAGCCAATAGATATAGACTGCTCTTCAGGATCAGAAAGACTTCCATCAGGTCTGCTACCGACCGTAGATTTGGAGCAACGTAGGTCAAGCATAGAATTTCAGCCTGTTGTAAGAATGATGAAAATTGATGAACAGGTTGATGTTGATAATAGTATTCTATCAGTGACTGTAGCCAGTAATCGACGTTTAAGAAGTTCTGGTGTTAGTAGTAGTTTGAAGAGACCTAAGAAACATTTTAAAGGAGCTCGTGGTCAGTTCGGCCGATGGATTAAGAATAGTTGAGACACTTTGACCAGGAAATCCAATTGAACTATGTTCTCTGTATAAAGTTATACTCCTTCTTGTATGCCAGAAAGTATGTTGCGTGTATGTGTGCGTGTGTGTATGTATTTGCGTCATTTTTCGCAGCATCCATGTGTATAACTCATACTTGGCTCGACCCACTCTCTACACTGCGTATCATCCCAATAGAGATAATAGAGCACTATTAATGAATTTCGAATCTTATTACGTCTTCTTGTCAGACTTGTCGCATCACGATTTAACCTGTCGGATTCGATGGCACGTTGTTTTTTAATTTTTCAATACTCTAAGATTAATTCAAAAAAAAAGATTTATCAGAATTTTGTATTAGCCTGAGGAATACTGCACAGATTGTCGTTTTAACGGATTCTTTGGAATAATCATACTGGTAAATTTATCCATTAATCTAATTGAAATTCCCTTTAAAGGGATTCAATAAACTGGACTTCGATATAATAGACTGACACTTTACTTTCAATTGGTGACATGATACGTGTAAATTGATGCAATTAATAAATTTAATATTATCATCAAGAAGTCTTCGTGATGCGCGTAATTTGGCACATCGGTCTAATCAAGACGCTGCCCTAAGATGAAAAATGACAAGAATTCGAATTTATAGACACCCTATCGATCGAGCCAGACCTCTATTTCATACATCGTTATCTAGCCCTAGTAACTTTATTATTAATTACAATTATTATCATTGCTATCGAAACCCTACTACTAATTATTCTATCTTTACGGAACGTTATTATTATATTAATTAGCATTATAATAATTATTAGTAATATTATCATTATCATCGTCGAAGTATCGACGTAAATTCATCGTTCTGTACATTCTCTTCAGTCTCAATCGCTGCAGAATTCATACAATCTTAATCTCTGTTATCCTGGTTTGGCTTACGGCAATTTCAAATTTGTATGTACACTTTTTTTCTATCACCCTTTTACAGTTGTACCGACTACTCCTAAACCAGTTTCTGATAACTATGCAGAGCAAGCTTTACAATAGATTTCGTTTCTTTCTTTTTTTAAGTTTAAATTACCTGCATAAATACGACTTTAGTCGTTGAACTGCTCTATGTAATTCTCTTCTACTGATCGATCGTTCGCGATCGGAGACAATTAAAACAAAAATTTTTTATAAAAATATGTTTATTCACTCGATGTAATCCTATCTGTTTTTGTATAATCAGTTGTCGCATTATCGATACCAGGGATGTTCAATAATTTGCTGAACGTTGCACCAAACTAAGTCATTTTTATTTGTTATTTAATTTTACGTCACAATAAAATAACTGCAATATAAATGACACTATATAGATTATAATGAAATTGGTAGTCTTATGTAAAGTAACAAAGAATAATACAAATTTAGCAAATAATTTATGTGAGACCTTCGCGTTTTTTAAAAGCTTTTTTAAGCTCAGCCAGTTTCTTCTTACGACGTTGTTTCTCATCCAAATGTTTCGACTGAACATTTCGTTCCTGACTCTCCAGCGAATATTCACCGTTAATTAGATTGTCAAATTTTCGCAGTAAAATCTCACGTGCTCGTCTCTGATTGTCCCACAAGCTACGCGTCTCATGACATTTTACAACAATACCAGTGGGCCTATGACGTAATACCACACAATTGCTGGTTTTATTTGTTGCCTGACCACCAGGACCACTACCTCGAACATGCTGCTCTTCTAGATCCTCTTCAAGTAACTTTGGCACTCTTGAATAGTCCAGGTGACGAGAAGTCTTACCGCGAACATAAATTGGACATTGTAGATTCTGTTTTACTATACAGAGTATCAACGACTTTGAATTTACATCCATGGAACAAGTGACTGGTATACCACAGCTTCTATATTGAGGAAATCCTAAACAAGTGTATTTATTTAACACGTTAGTATGTATTGCTCGAATCAATTTGTTTGCATTGTTTATTTTAGCTACAGGTATCAGCTGTTTTCTCATATCCAGTAGTCCCAGTAAAACTCTTGCAAAAGATTCCTTTTTCATTTCTTTAGAGTATAGTTTGGATCTTTCTTCTGTTGATAAAACAATTATTTTATTGCTATGAAATAGGATAAAATAATGTCACCGAGAGAATGTTTTGTTTTAATGACAAACTTATATTAAACAACGCGTTGTTTTTCCAATAACTGCAAGCCTTTCTGTAAACAAAAATGTATATTATTCATCTGGTTTTAGTTTTATTACCAAATATTAAATGACACTTCTTATTTTGTTTGTTGAAAATAGTATGTGAAATGAGACTCCTTTTTCAAAGAACATGATACTTATATTAGATACTTTATATTCTTATGTCAGAGAGTATAAATTAAAATTTGCAAGACTGTAGTTTAATTTAATTGCAATTTTACAGTCGCATTCAAAAATATTTTTATATCACTCTGCCATCTATTATAACCTTAACTTACATTGAACTGAAATTTTATTTCGTTCTCATCAACGAGACCCTTGTTGGCTCGAAAATTTTGACGTATCCTATAACGATAATATTTTTTGTCGGTAAATCGTAACGTTTCGCCGTATCTTAATAAATCCTTGTAACTTTTAAGAATTTGATTTCGCATTGTTGCCACTTTTGCACAGCACACAACAATACAAACCCAGTTAAAGTACCTGTGGCTTTATTTCCACCGTGCAAAGTTTAAACAGAGTTAACCAATCGCATGGTTCAGTTGATCGATTGAATCGAGTTGAATGGAATTGACCAATGAGTGCTTAACTCTGTTAAACTCTGCACAATGGAAACCACTGAGATATAGGAATATTGGAGGGTCGATTGTGTAACTCAAATGTAGTAAAAATACGGAAAGTGAATAGCTGTTAGCCAATCGCGTGTTAGATTCAAAAGAAGACAAGCACAATGATTGGCTAACAGCTATTCACTTTTCGTATTTTCACTACATTTGAGTTACACCATAGAACTTATATTCCTGAAAGGGGAATAGCTTACCCTAGTAATGAGTAAAAAGTGGTCTCAACATGTTGAGACAGAGATATATCTCTCTCTTCATTCGTAACGTTCAATTCCTCTCACGCGAGCACTACATCATAAGAACGACTGCCTCCAATCGAATTCCTTCAGTTTTCATGTAAAGGTAGTTTCATGATGCGACCGTGACACTGTCGCGCGCAACGATACCACACTGATGTGAAGAATTCCGTCGCGTCTATAAAATATGACGCGCTCTACGAGTTGTCTTGGACTTCTGATAATCATAATTATATCGGTCATTACCATTAACTTGCTAGGATCGAAAATTTATGTGAGAAATCTAATAAAAATCTACAGAAGTGAATAGCTGTTAGCCAATCGTTGTGCTTGTCTTCTTTTGAACCTAATACGCGATTGGCTAACAGCTATTCACTTTTCGTATTTTTACTACATTTGAGTCATACAATCGATCCCCAGTAGTATGAGTTCTATGAGTTACACACTGAACTCTGACTATCTAAGATGCATACGACAGGGGTGGGAGCGAGTAGAGAGAGATAGCAAGGGCACATATGAGTGTAGCAGCCTGTCTGTATCACATACTGTACAGTCTCTGAAACAGTTTAAGCTGGGATAAGGCAATGCACACTGGGAGGACTAATGGTCAATTTCTTCACCTTCGATTTAAATTTATCCTCCGGATAAATCCCCAGCTCACCAATAATTTTCAAGTTTAAGAAGTTTATCGGCAGGATAAATTTTATCCGAAGGTGAAGAAATTGGCTATAAGCCAACACAACAGAACCTGAAATAGTGGCACATATATTTTATTTCGAAGTGTGCTAAATATTTTTTTGTTCTTTGTATAAGGCTCTATATTTATATGATGGAGCCTAGATAAGATTTATATGTACTTTTATTTCAGTGCTCTTCCATTGCCCCACGGCTGGCACTGATACGCCGGCAGGATAACTTTTCTGCAGGGCTTGTACGTCACATGCGCAGTCCAAATCGAAAAGGATAACCTCATCCACGATGTGAGTGGGACAGCTGCGCGTTCGCCGGGTTACCTCCAAATACAGGCGTACATATTTAAGTATGGTTAGAGTTCAGTGGTAATACTTTACTTACATATGAACCTCAAAAAATGTTCCAACCTTTTCAAGGCTTCCTAATGAATATGTGATGCAACCTTAATGCTTTTCTACGATAAAACCCCATTACAAATTATATTATTACAAATATTTAATGTTTTATGGCTTATTTTCTGCTGCTTGGTTTCAAAACAGAATAAATTACTTTGATGGGCCTACGCAGTCCTACTTCATCGTCAAAATTGCCAGACAGCACCATCACAGTGATAACCGAAACTACTCCAAGTGGCATGCCACAATTGTGGCACGATTTCGAAAATAGGGTCCCTGAATTATAGCATACGCGTTTCACAGTATACTTATATTTCAGTGGTCGACCGCAACTCTCGACCAATAGCACAACGTGAACTCCTTCAGACGCGTTATACCATTGGTCGACCATCCTCGTGCGAACGCGTGTTTGACGAGTTTGATGGAGGAAAGGAAGCTAGATAGGATTTCTTTAAGGTAGTTTCCTTTGCAATTTTTTTGGGTGAGTTGTATGACTAAGGGCCGGTTCCACAAACACGGTTTATCGTTTAAACTTCTTTTATCTCCAAAATACAAATTTCTGATTGGCTCATAGCGGAGATAAACCGAGTTTAAACAATAAACCGTGTTTGTGGAACCGGCCCTAAATCTCAGACACCTGATTGGCCAATACCCTTATATCACACAATTTTTACTAATTAAGAGTCTAGTTTTTCGGAATTTCCGATTAATGTGACAAAGCTAGTAATGCTTCATAACCATAAGGTGCAATCCCAGGTTTATTCATAAACCACACCCCGAATTGGTCAACATTTTTTGATTTAACAGGTTTGGCCAATCAGGGTTCTGAGTTTATAGTCGAACGACACATACGGCTTACCTGTGGAATCTCCCTAATGTTTCACATGTGTCATACAAGGTAGAACGCAGCCAACTTCGTTATGTATCATGGTCAATCGAGTGCAGTCTAGTGTCTTCGTTCGAGTGGTACGTGTCGGTTAATATAACTTTCTCTTAACCCGTAATATCGCATATTTTACAAGTACTTCATCTGCAAGAAAAACAACTGTGAAATATCGAAAAATTTTCTGTTCATCCCATATAATCCACGTGATCAGTGTTCGCGTTACGCGCAACTTCTAGAGCACAGAAGAGTAAAAAAGCCGAAGAACCACGCCACCATCTTGAATATCGATCGTGCTATTTGTTTGTGACTAAGTTCGTACGACAGTCTTTTCGAGAGTCTGATCAGTTTTCACGTAGCTTCGGCGTCGTAGACGTCGCCGCTGTGCAATTCTGCAACTGTGTTCTGTGAAAATCGAAAAACAGAAAAAAAAGTTGGTCAACTTCATTGTCTAGGTACATCGCCTCTAGCCAAGCCACTTTATCAGTGAGTAAAATATAACTGATTTGATTATACGAAAGTATATTCACGATTGCTCTTGTCCTTGGTGCTTATCTCTTAACTCTTGGGTAGTCTAGTACTTTCTTCAGGGCTAGTTTCCATCCATGTGTATCATTCTTTTATCAATTCTGTTTTGTACACCGTGGAAGTATGCCCATATATCCAAACTACGTCAATTTATGTTGATAAGAAACCTGTTAAAACATTTCTCTTCGCGCGTCGATGATTGGTGTCTCTAAGGTTTATTTTTTATTTGGAAATTATGTTTATTACAGATTTATATTTCTACAATTAAAAATAGCAACAAAGCATCAAGTTTCTTCGCTGGTACTTGATAATCCACAGTAATTATCGTCATTATGGAAGGGACAGTAATTCATGAGCTAAAAGAACAATCATAAAGACTCAAAGCGATTCAAAATAAGTTTAAGGAAAAATAACTATATTTAAATAATACCTAATATTTTTGGACGATATATTTTGCTTATACGTAAATTCCTTTTCACGGTTTAAATTCGTGTAAGGAAGAAGAAAAAAGAGAGACATTGTGATAACTGGATTTAAAAAAAAATATGTTGCTGCACCAGCGGAATTATATGGAAAAATATTAATACTTAGGAATAATACTTTTGGGTATAAGAAAATTTTTATTGAACATTTTTAACGCCAGCATGGGTGAACAAAATATTGAAATTTCTATCAAATGTCTGACAATTCCGTAATCCTTGTCATTTTGTTTTTTTAAAAGCTGTTCAGCTTTATGTGAAGATATTTAGAATGGAAACTATTAATGATTTTACATTCATTAATTATCATTCATTCACATCCTTTTTTTACATTAAAATCATTACATTTGTGGGCGTTGGTACTTTAAACTATAGTCACATAATTTTTCTCATAATTAAATGATCATCTGTAGAGAAACAGCTTGTAAAAAATGAAAAAAAAACCTTAAAAAATATATATTTCCATTTCTTTTGTTATAACTTCAACCTAGGTCGGTTGATTCTTATTTACTAGAATATTCTCAAATGCGTAGCGAACGCATGAGGCTATACATATCTAAGTTATGTAGCTAGCATCGATTCGCAGACACAACCCAACTACAACTTAGTTTTCCGTAATTGGAATACATAATGAATTCCATAATGACTCTGATATGATTATTAAGTAATATAGTTTATTATTATTTAATAATCAATTCATTAAATTATAGTCCTCACAAAATTTCAGTTCACTGGTTCTACGCGTCGACGAGTAAGTATTACGGAAAGTTTTATTTTTAAATTTAACGTCGAGTTAGATCTGTCCAGTGATCAATAAATCGTGCTACAGGTTGATAATTTGAAAGATACTCTCTGCAAAATTAATTCTTACCTGGTAATATGGTATTTTTGGTACCCTCAGTCCGTAAACCTGTGTCATTTTTGTCCGGCGCGTTTTTCACTAACTTAAAACTTAAGGTAGTACGGTAGAATTATGCTAGAAAGTTAACTCTACATTTTTTAATGCCTAATTGAAAGAGTTCAATCAGCTGCATCTGTTGGTTCAAAACAAAATTTTTTTTACCGTCTAGTTCAAGAGGTATTAATTATTCAAATTGGGCAAAATTAAGGTGGTGGGGAAAAAAAGATTGTATTTAGTCAGAAGTCCTCAATTTTCGAAAAAATTAGCAAGTTAGCCTACCCATTAAAGTATATTTGTAGATAGCTTGATATCTGAGGCATTTGCTATAAAAAAGTGAACATCATTTCCGTAACAACATAATCGTATACTTATTAAGAAATTACGGTTAAACAAAACGGCATGCGGCGGTTGTCTTTCTCTTTCGCGTGTTCCTTTCTCATCTGTAAGAGCTAGAGAAAAATAATAATAGTGCAGATTTGTGGACGTTCAGTAAGCATTATGATTTATTTATACGAATATAATTATTATTTGCTAGTATTAAATAAAAATTAAATTTTTTTTTTCTATTTGGCTTATGAAATTTAACAAGTTATATATAGCCATTAATTTAATTTCATCCAAATTCTACCATACTACTTCAAGCCTTCGCGTACAGACAGGAAAATCCGCCCCTTACTTATACAGTCTGAGCCTGGGTAACCGAAGCAACTTTAACTTCAAATATCTTGGCGATAAATTAAGATTTTTTCATTTTTTGTCTGATGGGAAAGTTTGAACGATTTTGCGCCGAATAAAAAAAAATTCGAAAAAATTAAAAAATTTCGTAAATGAATTTTCTTCAAACTTCGGCAGGGTGTAATTCCGAAAAGCGCATCCTCCGAAAAGTATGGTTTTTTGTATTATGAGGTATTTTGACGTACTGATGGCGAATATGATAATGGTAACACCTTCGAAATTAATAAAAAATAGCAATTTTTCAAGGAAAAAATATTTTTTGGATATGTTTTTCGTTAAACATTGATTTAAGAGAAAAATATTAAGTAAAAATTGCAGCTTGCGAAAGATCACATCTTTTATGTCTTATGCATTTTTATTATAAAACTATTATTTTTCGAGAAAAATGAAATAATATTCAGAGAAACAAACATTCGTAGAACAAACTGTAATAAAGAACAATTATGATTGATAGAATTTTTTATTATTATTTCATTAGTCTCAGTACATAATTAAATAACTACGCACTTTACCGCGGGAAGGTTGAAATTTCGATTTTAAAGTGCATTTTTTTCCTTTTCGTATTTTTTTGGCTTTTTGTATTTCTTACTTCTTGTATTTTTGAATTAACAAATACGTTTTTTTATCATTTATATATTACGTAGGTTAGGTTTTTGCTTATTTTATTTTTTTATCCTTAGAATTTGATCCTTAATCGCAAAACGAGCTTGCGAGCGGAGCCCCCCGCATACATTAGGTTCTTTAGGTAGGTTAGTTTCTCGCTTATTTAACATTATCTCATTTTTGTCGAAAAATAATAGTTTTATAATAAAAATGCATAAAACATGAAAGATGTATATTTTTATAAGCTACAATTTTTATTTCAAACTTTTTTCTATAAAATCAATATTTATTGAAAAAATATTTTAAAAAGTATTTTTTTCTTGAAAAATGGCCATTTTTTAAAATTAATTTTGCGATTATTTTCACTATAATATTCGCTATCAGCACATCAAAATACGTCAGAATACAAATAACCATACTTTTCGGAACTTTATCCGTCTGTTCTTATGGTTTTTGTGCTCTTTTCAAAAAGTATCGTTATTTTTCCATGTGAATGTACACCTTGTGGTGATTTTAATAAATATTACATTTTCCTATATTTTTTTTTCATTTGCTCTTCTTTTAAAATGGCATAACATGAAGTTCCGAGTGTCAGCTGTCTAATAATTATTCTAATTTGATAATTGTTCAAATAACAAGTAAGGTAAAAACGTGATAAACACATTTTTTGAAAAAAATTAGGAACATTTATTAAATACAAAATACATTTACATTATAGAAATTCAATAAATACAATTAAATGCTTATAATTAATCTTCCGAACAACTGTGACAAACTGCAGAACGGTGTTCTGGATAGCCTGAAAACAACTTAGGATCGAATTCAAAATCTGACATGCAACTTATTTCCGTGTCACTGGCCTGCTGCTCCATTTGTACGACGGTACTTCTGTTGAGACGTCGCGGCATTTTCATCGAACGCCTTGTTCTAGATGTGAAATAAGCTGGTCCATCTTACTTGATTTTTTCAACCGGAACTATTGAATAATTTAGGGCTAATTTAGGACCCCATATTTGATTTTAGGGCTCACCCCCTTAGGGGGTGGGTCCACCACACTTGTTCTCACTCATCTGTAATGATAACCTCAACTTATTATACATCATATTTTTGGGCTATTTAAGGGCTGTCGAATGCGCCTAGCCGCAATTAAATCGGACTAGCCCTTCTGAAAAAACCACCCCGTTGTATACTTTTCTTATGAGATTTCAAGTTTAATTACTTTGGAAACTGTTCTTTATGCATTTTAAAAATATATCATGATATAAATTTCAGTTTTCAAATCTTTTCGATTTTTGGGCTGCACCCGTAGGCCCTAAAAAACAACTCCCAACACAAATTAATTGTCTGGACGTGTGCCACCATGTTCTTTATTATTCTGAAGAACTTTAAAAATCATTATTAATTAAAAGGGCTTACATTCCCAACACTTTGCGATTTTTGGGCTGCACCCTTTGGCTCTCAAAAACAACCCCTAGCACTATTAATCTGCTTATGAAGGTCGCTCATCAAATTGTGCTTGACTGTCACTGCGTGCATGAAGTTATTGAACTTGGCAATCTAGAGTTTGATTCCTACGCTCGAAAATTTGTTTTCCTTATATAAAATTCCAAGTGTCTATGCTTCATGAATTGGCGATCGAAATGAATTATGAAATTCAGGGAATTACTATTGGTTGCAATCAGAGAATAGTTTACGATTTAGTTGTGCTGGCCGCCACCTATATTTTTTAATAAATTTTGAGAACTTAAAATTCACAAAACAAATAATATTTACCAAATATTTGTCATTTAAATCTTTTGTTCGTTATAGAGGTTCATTTAACTAATTCTTCATTTATTTATATAATCAAGAATTGAGAAATCATAAATCTTTCCACTACTTAAATTGGCAGTCGTGCTTCATTGCTTCTCAGACGTGATAATGCTTACTAACTAATGTATTGTGTTTTATACTGCTAAAGCAAAGACAATTGGTCACAGAACGGTTCATATGATTATTGTGTTCGATAAAGATCTGTTACAGTACGTTGTTTGAATTGGGACACAAATTATGCGTACAGTTTTATATACGTATATGTATAAGTATATAATCTGTTGGAATGAATTAATGCGTGAAAAAAATGACGTAATTAAAACTTCACTATTCAACGAGTAGCCTTCCTCTAGCGTATTGTATTATCGATCGATTACAATATATCGAATGTAGATTTTAGCTTTTTATAATTAAATTTAAATTATCGG